GGCGTGGGCCACGCCGGCTGCGGTGATGGCGTACGTGAAGGCCGCCTCACGGCTCCCTGTGGGGAGGGGACGGTGCAGACGGTGAAGCCCCGCAGTCTCTACCCGGTGGGCTCAGGGGACCTAGTGCTGGGCCCTGGTCCTGCTGCCGGCCGGCTGTGTGACCCTGGGCTCAGCACGTGCCCTCTCTGAGCTTCTGACTCAGCAAAATGAGGCTAATGGAACCCACCTTGCAGGGCTGTGGTGAGGACAGTATACAGTGGGCACTCAATGAATGCCACGGCCCTGCCACCGGCACGTAAGACACTTCTCTTCCTGTCCCAGGAGCCTGGGCTGGAGGGGCCCAGTTTCCTCCTGGGAGACAGCACTGGGGGGCCCTGGGAGGGGATGTTTGGGGCCCGCACCTCTGCCAGCCTCCCAGTGCTGCTCTTCACGCACCAGGTACTTGTGCTGACCCCTTTGGGGGCTCCGCACCCACTAGCCAGGAGCCAGGCAGGATCCCCGCCGCTCAGAGCAAACCGCGGGCTCTTTGTAGCTGTCTCTCTCTTTCTAGCCAATCACTCCATCACCCGGCTAGGCCTCCTGAATCTCCCTTCTCCCACTCCCCTGCCTGCTTCAGGGGCCCCTGAACTGCCAGGCTTGGGAGCCATTCCTCCCTGCCTCCCTCACCCCCTAGCCACCATCCAGGTGGCTTCAGACTGCACTTCTAATCCCTGGCCAGCACCCCCCCGCCACTTGCCCTCGCTCTCCTCCGCCTGAGGTGGAAAGGGAAAGCCTGCAGTCCAAGCCTAAAGTCCACGCCTGGCTGGACCCCCCAGCCCTCTCTCCCCATCCTCCACCCAAAACAACTCAAATTCCAGTGCTGCTCACATGTTCCTGGAAGTTTCCTGATCTTTTTGGTGGAGTTTTCTTCCCCTCCATGCCCAAATTTTAACAACCTTCCAAGGCCAGTGCCAATGTCTCCTCCTCCAGGCAGCCTTCTCAGACCACCAGCCAGATGGAAGATCAGGCTACCTGACCTCCCTCAGTGGCAGATCTCTCTCACTGCTCTTGACACTGTCCACCTGGTAAGTCCTACCACTGATACTTCCTGGATCCACATGGGTCAGAGGCCCCTTAGATGGACGGATCCAGCTCTTCATTCTTTATTTTCCACAGTCCCCAGCCTAAGCATCCTGTCTTCCTGGCCCCTGTCTCTCGGGCCCCTCTTGCCTTGCGCACGAGCACATAGGCTTCCTGCAGACCATGGCTAGTTCTGTGTAGTTCCCAGCACCTGCCACTGTGGGTACGGAGCTCAGAGATGCCGACTGGACCAAAGCCAAGCTCTGGTGAGGGAATCCCACCGCCCTCAACAATAGCGGGACATGGCCGAGGCGGTCTCGGGAGGGGCCATTGGAAACCCAAGACCCTATCCTTGCACAAGCTCTGTGCTTGTGCCCTGCAAATGCCAACAGGCCCTTCTGTGTGCTTGGCTGTTGTTCCCTGTTATTGGGGACCAGCATGATTCCCCCAGATTGCGAGATGGTTGAGGGTCATTCTACAAATATCCACTGAGCACCGACTGCATGCCCAGCCTGGTGCTGGGCTCTGACTGTGTTCTAAGGTCCCCCTCCTCACCCACCAATTGGCTGAAGGGGGCTCACCTTGATGGAGTCCCCATTCCCCAGGGTTGGGGGCTCACCCTCAGGGAGGTCCTTATTCATCAGGGTGGGGGCCTCACCCTCAGTGGGGTCCTTGTTCCCTGGGGGGTCACTTATCTGGGGCCCCTGTTCTCGGTGTCTCTCCCATTTAGGGTGAGACCCACTGGTCTCTGGGGCCCGGGGAAGAGGAGGCTTTGGCTGGCCTCTGCCATCACAGAGGGGGCTGTGGTTTCCTGGAAACTTCCATCCTCTGGAAAGAGCTGAGGAGGGAGTGGTGTTGGGCGTTCCTTCCTCCCCAGAAAGACCAGGGTCTGCAAAGGGCATGGGGCAGCACTGCCTTCTTAGGGCCTGGGTGCACATCCAGTCTCTCCTCCCCGATGGGCCCTTCAGCCCACACTCCCGCCTCCCGGCCTGGGGACCTGCCCACTGCATGGGACCCACTCTGCGGGCACCACCCAGTGAGAAGCCGTCTCTTAGTGCAGTGAGTGGCTCTCGGAGGAGCACAGAGGAGTCCTGGTCCCTGGGCTGTTGAGGCCACCAGCTGGGAGTACCAGCCAGACACAGGGACAGGGAGAGTATGGTGTGAAGTGGGTTATTGAACTCCAAGCCCAGCAGGGCCAGCCAACAAGCTCACACACGGGCATGCATGAGCAGGGAGGCAGCGGTGTCGAGGAAAGGAGGTGACCACAGAGCTCTGCAAGAAGGGGCAGGGAGAACCATGGAACCTCAAAGGATGCCTGGACCTCCCTCTCTGGGGGGGTGGAGTCAAGGAAGCCTTCCTGTAGGAGGTGACACCTTCAAGAAAGTCTTAATGAGAAGTGTGAGTTAACTCCCTGTGAGTGTGTGACTTAGCATGTGAGTGTGTATGGTGTGTGTGTGGTGGGTGCTTGCTCCTGGTGCACATGAGGCAGGAGCAACGGTGCAGGGGTGTGAAACAGTTTGGTGTTGCTGGTGCTGGAAGTATGAGATCACGGGACAGGAAAAGCGGTGGCTGAAGTCCGAGGGCGCCAGATTGCGGGTGGCCAGAGATGTCCTGTGAAGACGATGGCACTTTCTGTGTGGGTGCTGGGGCAAGAGGCTATGGGATTTGGACCTAAGTCTGGCTTCATGAGGGATGGGGACCCTGGGACTATCTAGAAAGCAGACCGGCAAAGCCATGCCTATAGCATCATCACCACTGCCAGCCCCCAGCTCTCACAGTGCCAGCAGCTCTCTGACCCTTAACGCCTGTTCTCACTGAACTGTCCCGACAATCATGCAATACAGGTTTCATTCTCAGTCCCCTCTTTCAGATGAGGACACTGAGGCACACAGAAAGTATGAAACTAGGTGTTAGTGGCTGAAGCAGGATTTGAACCCAGGCAGTGGAATCAAAGCCCAGCGAGGCAGAGGGAGGGGCTTGGGGCCTGGGGTGCGGGTCATCGGAGGCCACCCTGCCCCCCGGTTTGGCCCCTTTGCAGCTAAGTGACCTGGGGTAGGAGGAGACAGGAGAAGTGGTGTGCACGGCCCCCTCGGGAAGGAGATGCTGCATTTGGACCATCCATGGACCTGAGGTGTGCAGTGGCGGGGCGCTAACCGGCAGGTGAAGGCTGGTTGGGAGCCCTGGAGAGGCGGAGCTAGCCTCCGAGTGGGCGTGTCACAAGCTAGGCCCCCAGAGGGGGTTAGAAATCTCCACCAGTTGTGAATTCACACCAAGAGGCCAGGCGGATGGAGCTTAAAAGTCCCAAACCAAGCCCTGCCTCAGCCAGGGCGATGGGGGCGTGTCCTCAGAGGCCTGGGACCCACCACCACCTGCGACCCTCTTCTCCCCAAATGCCCGTCCTCCCCAGTGGCAGCCAGATGGGGGACTCCCACGCCTTTCATCCTCCAGCCCCGCAGGCAGGCCAGCAGGCACGGGGTCAGGCCTGGAGTTTGGAGGGCACTTCACAAAGCCCTCCCTCCCATCCTTTCTGCTCCCACGGGGTTTCTGCCCGTGCCCAGCTCAGACCCAGTTACTCATGAGTCACTCACTGGGCTGCCACTCTTGCTAATTCCCTTTTTATTTGGCTTTAATAAGCCACACCCTCTCGTCTCACCATGGAGACGAGGGGGAGGCGAGCAGTGAGAGTCGTAGTTTGGGGAGAATCAGTGAGGACAGCATTGGGTCCTGGATCCAGGGGTTCCCGGGGCCCCGTTTCATAGAACTGAATGCTGGCTCAGAGGGCTTCCCCACTTCGCCGGGTCACAGTGCGCCCAGGCATGGAGGGAGGAGACGGTCCCCTGCCAAAATCACCACTGGGGCTGTCTTGCAGCCCCCACAAGTCACCTACATGTCCTCCGGGGCAAGAATGAGTCAGTGTTTAGATTTAGAAAGAAGCCCCTTGAACCCGTGGGCCTTGCCCAGCAAACGTCGATGGCTCCCTGGGCCTCCGAGATGCCCTCCAGCCCCAGAGGCCTGACCCCACCCGTCCCACCCGCCACTCACTCCCTGAGCCTGGCTCTGCCAGGTCCAATAGCTGGTCCGCCTGTGGGCAGGTGCAGCCACGTCCTGCGCACACCGCTCTTCTGGAATAGAGGGCAGCCTGGTTCCCACCGCCTGCCCTGATGGATGCTGGCCCACTCTCTGCCTGGACCGCCTGCCTGCATTCCCACATGTCTGCAGCTCACCCAGGCTCTGAATGCTGCAGGGAAGCTCCCTGCTCCCAGAAGCCCCACTGAGGTGAAGCGCCCTCCTCTGGGCTCTTGCCAGGTGCCCGGTGGGCTGCAGGGGTGGTGGGTAGGCTCCATGTCTGATTCTTTGTGTACCCCTGCCCCGCAGCATCATTCCTGGAGCCCACACAAGAGCAGGGCTGGGGCTGGACACACTACATGCATCACCTTCTTTTATCTCCCTGACCACACCATGGAATAGGTCCTCTAAGACCCATCTCACAGGTGGGAACACAGAGCCTCAGAGGCAGGAAGTGGTTTGCTCCGGGAGGTAACGGCCACTTGAGCTCAGCACTACTCCAGATGTGTCTGGTGATGGGGCTGGGGAGTTGGGTGAAGGCAGCAGGGATGGTCTGTGTCGGGCCAGCAGCTCTCTTAGAGGTACACTTTGGTCTGGGAGGCCTAGGGCCCCCTCTTGGGAACCAGAGCCCCTCCCAGCAGGGATGTGCATCCTTAGACAGCAGACCCAGCAGGAGTGTCCTGCAGTCTCCCTGGAAAATGTCAAAGACAGACAGGCAGGCCACACAATGGCCACCCCTTTCCATGGCCCTCATAAGCCCTGAGCGGGTCCCTGAGTGCACTGGCCCTGACTGAGGCCCCGCTGCTTCTAGGGCAGTCTGTGTCTGGCACCTGGCAGGTCAAGATGGGCTCCATTAGCCACAGAGGCCCCCTGGCCTGAGGTTTTGGGAAAGCCCCGGACTTGTAGTCTCACACCTGCTGTGTGGCCCCAA